ATATTATACACATTTAATATTACATACAATATTATAAAATTAAATAATTTTTTTTTATTAACATTCATATACAGAATGTTAATATATTTCTGAGATATTTTTGTAAAATTGATTCTAAAAACCAAAACAAATATAAAAATTGATATAGAAAAGTATTAATTGAATCTTTATAAATAATTTATAAGTAATTTAAATTTACGTTAAATGAAGCAGATAGAGTGAGAAGATGTGACAGAGTTATTCATTATTTATTCATATGTATATTTAGCGCAATATGACATGATATTTTAGAAAATTTCTAAATGAATATTTAATTATTTGAATATTTTAAACATTTAATATATTTTATTAATAGGAAGTTTCAAATCATATTCTTTATTAATTATAAATGTATTTACTATACATATATATGTTTAATATGTATAATGTATTTTAAATATTAAAAATTTCGTGAAATTTTTAATAATTATTTAAAAATTTTATACAATATTTTTTAAAATAAAACGAGATATAATGTTACATGTAATTAATCATTTATTAATTTCAATTATTGTGTATAATTATTAAATTTCATTGATGTAAATTATTTAAAATATATATTTTAATATTAAGTGTTATAAATATCAATAAAAAAAATTGTGATATTAAAAATAGTTTTATATATATTTTATATCAGTTTTTAGCATCTCTTGCTATATAAATTATTATATTGTATTTAAATAGAATTTTTTTGTAAAAATTTAAAAAAATTATTTAAATCTTTATAATTTTATTAATTTCTATTAATTTTTATACAATATAAATTTAATTTTANATTATTTTATTAATTTTTTTTATAATTACAAATAATAATATTTTATTAAATATAAAATTTTAGTCATAAAAATGGTAAATTATTCTATCTTCTAAATCATTTTCTTGTAAATATCATGTTCTGTTTTAACTGATTATATTTTTATTTTAAGTTGAAGAAAAATAAATAAGAAAATTAATAAAAGAAATAACTGTATTTATTGAA